TCTCTCTCTCTCTCTCTCTCTCTCTCTCTCTCTCTTCTCCTCTCTCACTCTTCTTCTTATCTCTATCTACTCTCTCTCTCTCTCTTTTCTCTCTTCTTTTTCTTTCTTCTCTCTTCTCTCTCTCTCTCTCTCGCTTCTCTCTCTCTCTCTCTTTCTCTCGCCTGTCTCCTCTCTCAACTCCCCCTCTCTCTCTCTCCGCTCTCTCTCTCTCTCTCTCTCTCTCCTCTCCCTCTCTCTCGCTTCCTCTCTTTCTCTCTCTCTCTTGCTCTCTCTCTCTCTCTCCCTCTCTCTCCCTCTCTCTCTCGTCACGGGCTCGTGAGATCAGCCAGGGTGGCTCCCCCTTGGGGCTCCCAAATGATGCCCCTGGCAGCGTTTTGCGACCATGAGGCTCTCAAGAGATACATGTTGGGGAAGCCAAACGGCAATTCTAGCTGAGGCGTCCCACCAAAATCGGCGCGAACGGGCTCGTGAGATCAGCCAGGGTGGCTCCCCCTTGGGGCTCCCAAATGATGCCCCTGGCAGCGTTTTGTGACCATGAGGCTCTCAAGAGATACATGTTGGGGGCGCCAAACGGCAATTCTAGCTGAGACGTCCCACCAAAATCGGCGCGAACGGGCTCGTGAGATCAGCCAGGGTGGCTCCCCCTTGGGGCTCCCAAATGATGCCCCTGGCAGCGTTTTGTGACCATGAGGCTCTCAAGAGATACATGTTGGGGAGGCCAAACGGCAATTCTAGCTGAGACGTCCCACCAAAATCGGCGCGAACGGGCTCGTGAGATCAGCCAGGGTGGCTCCCCCTTGGGGCTCCCAAATGATGCCCCTGGCAGCGTTTTGTGACCATGAGGCTCTCAAGAGAGACATGTTGGGGGCGCCAAACGGCAATTCTAGCTGAGACGTCCCACCAAAATCGGCGCGAACGGGCTCGTGAGATCAGCCAGGGTGGCTCCCCTTGGGGCTCCCAAATGATGCCCCTGGCAGCGTTTTGTGATCATGAGGCTCTCAAGAGATACATGTTGGGGGCGCCAAACGGCAATTCTAGCTGAGACGCCCCACCAACATCGGCGCGAACGGGCTCGTGAGAACAGCCAGGGTGGCTCCCCCTTGGGGCTCCCAAGTGATGCCCCTGGCAGCGTTTTGTGATCATGAGGCTCTCAAGAGATACATGTTGGGGGCGCCAAACGGCAATTCTAGCTGAGACGTCCCACCAACATCGGCGCGAACGGGCTCGTGAGAACAGCCAGGGTGGCTCCCTCTTGGGGCTCCCAAATGATGCCCCTGGCAGCGTTTTGTGATCATGAGAGAGTGTGAGTGTGAGCTTAACTTATCTTATCTTATCTTGAAATCTCTTCTTATCATATCCTGTGCCATCTTATCTTATCTTGTAGTATCTTATCTTGTCTTGTCTTATCTGGTGATTATCATTGGGAGGAGGGAGGCGCGAGCGGGAGGAAGAAGGAGGAGGAGGAGTGGGAGGCGTCAGAGTAATAATTATTCACTGCGTGGGGATCCCCATATGTGCATCTCCTTGCTGGCGCTCCCTTGGTGGTGGGACTCGGTGAGGACGAATCTGGATTTAAGTGTGACTGAGCTGCCTCTCTCTCTGCTCTCTCTGCTCTCTCTGTCTCTCTCTCTCTCTCTGCCCTCTCTCTGTCTCTGCCTCTCTTTCCCTGCCTCTCTCTCTCTCTCTGCCTCTCTCTCTGCCTCTGTCTCTCTGCCTCTCTCTCTCTCTCTGCCTCTCTCTCTGTGCCTCTCTCTCTCTGCCTCTATATCTGCCTCTCTCTCTCTCTCTCTCCTCTCTCTCTCTTCTCTCTATTCTCTCTCTGCTCTCTCCTCTCTCTCTCACTCTCCCTCTCTCTCTCTCGCTCTCTCTCTTCTCTTCTCTTCTCTTCTCTTCTCTTCTCTTCTCTTATCTTCTCTTCTCTTCTCTTCTCTTCTCTCTCTCTCTCTTGCTCTCTCTCTCTCTTTCTCTATCTCTCTCTCTTCTCTTCTCTCTCTGCTCTCACTCTCTCTCTAGCTCTCTCTTTCTCTCTGTCGCATCTCTCTCTCTGCTCTTCCTATCCTCTTCCTCTTCTCTTCCTCTCTCTCTCTCTCTCGTCTCACTCGCTCCTCTTCTCGCTCTCTTCTCGCTTCTCCTCGCTCTCTCCGCTCTCTCTCTCTCTCTCTGCCTCTCTTCTCTCTCTCGCTCTCTCCCGCTCTTTCTCTCTCTCGCTCTTTCTCTCTCTCTCTCTCTCTCTCTCTCTCTCTCTCTCTCTCTCTCTCTCTCTCTCTCTCTCTCTCTCTCTCTCTCTCACCTCTCTCTCTCTCTCTCTCTCTCTCTCTCTCTCTCTCTCTCTCTCTCTCTCTCTCTCTCTCTCTCTCTCTCTCTCTCTCTCTCTCTCTCTCTCTTCTCTCTTCTCTCTCTCTCTCTCTCTCTCTCTTCTCTCTTCTCTCTTTCTCTCGCCTGTCTCCTCTCTCAACTCCCCCTCTCTCTCTCTCTCTCCGCTCTCTCTCTCTCTCTCTCTCTCCTCTCCCTCTCTCTCGCTTCTCTCTCTCTCTCTCTCTCTTGCTCTCTCTCTCTCTCTCTCTCGTCACGGGCTCGTGAGATCAGCCAGGGTGGCTCCCCCTTGGGGCTCCCAAATGATGCCCCTGGCAGCGTTTTGTGACCATGAGGCTCTCAAGAGATACATGTTGGGGAGGCCAAACGGCAATTCTAGCTGAGGCGTCCCACCAAAATCGGCGCGAACGGGCTCGTGAGATCAGCCAGGGTGGCTCCCCCTTGGGGCTCCCAAATGATGCCCCTGGCAGCGTTTTGTGACCATGAGGCTCTCAAGAGATACATGTTGGGGAGGCCAAACGGCAATTCTAGCTGAGACGTCCCACCAAAATCGGCGCGAACGGGCTCGTGAGATCAGCCAGGGTGGCTCCCCCTTGGGGCTCCCAAGTGATGCCCCTGGCAGCGTTTTGTGACCATGAGGCTCTCAAGAGATACATGTTGGGGGCGCCAAACGGCAATTCTAGCTGAGACGTCCCACCAAAATCGGCGCGAACGGGCTCGTGAGATCAGCCAGGGTGGCTCCCCCTTGGGGCTCCCAAATGATGCCCCTGGCAGCGTTTTGCGACCATGAGGCTCTCAAGAGATACATGTTCGGGGCGCCAAACGGCAATTCTAGCTGAGACGTCCCACCAAAATCGGCGCGAACGGGCTCGTGAGATCAGCCAGGGTGGCTCCCCCTTGGGGCTCCCAAATGATGCCCCTGGCAGCGTTTTGCGACCATGAGGCTCTCAAGAGATACATGTTGGGGGCGCCAAACGGCAATTCTAGCTGAGACGTCCCACCAAAATCGGCGCGAACGGGCTCGTGAGATCAGCCAGGGTGGCTCCCCCTTGGGGCTCCCAAATGATGCCCCTGGCAGCGTTTTGTGACCATGAGGCTCTCAAGAGATACATGTTGGGGGCGCCAAACGGCAATTCTAGCTGAGACGTCCCACCAAAATCGGCGCGAACGGGCTCGTGAGATCAGCCAGGGTGGCTCCCCCTTGGGGCTCCCAAATGATGCCCCTGGCAGCGTTTTGTGACCATGAGCCCCTCAAGAGATACATGTTCGGGGCGCCAAACGGCAATTCTAGCTGAGACGTCCCACCAAAATCGGCGCGAACGGGCTCGTGAGATCAGCCAGGGTGGCTCCCCCTTGGGGCTCCCAAATGATGCCCCTGGCAGCGTTTTGTGACCATGAGGCTCTCAAGAGATACATGTTGGGGAGGCCAAACGGCAATTCTAGCTGAGACGTCCCACCAAAATCGGCGCGAACGGGCTCGTGAGATCAGCCAGGGTGGCTCCCCCTTGGGGCTCCCAAATGATGCCCCTGGCAGCGTTTTGTGATCATGAGAGAGTGTGAGTGTGTGAGCTTAACTTATCTTATCTTATCTTGAAATCTCTTCTTATCATATCTTGTGCTATCTTATATTATCTTGTAGTATCTTATCTTGTCTTGTCTTATCTGGTGATTATCATTGGGAGGAGGGAGGCGCGAGCGGGAGGAAGAAGGAGGAGGAGGAGTGGGAGGCGTCAGAGTAATATCAAGAACCCCAATCCTTAGGATATGGGGAACAAGAACCCCAATCCTTAGGATATGGGGAAGAAACAGCTATGAACCCCGTACTCCCCCTCAGCGCGCAATTCGGGTCTTCGTGTTGGGGTGGGGTGGTCTGGTAGATAGTCAGATATGGGGGGGAAGCCTGGAGACCGCAGATTGGCCAGAGGATACGTGTTGCCCGCTCTTCCGTTCTCTATCGCAGTCCACTCCTCCGTTCTCCCAGGTGGTTGAGGCATTATGCTCAGCTGCCGATGGTTATCGGTTCTTGTGTCGCTAACTGAATCCAGAGGGAGGTGGTCGAACGGCACGCGACTCACCCCAACGCTGCTATGAACGAGCAGAAGCGATCGGCGCCTGCGGCGGGCTCGCCGTGCCATGTGTACATGATCTTCACCTCGGGTGGGCTTCTTGTGAAACGTTTGTTTCGGACCCTGCAGGCCGCCGACGAAGCCCCCTCACTCGCCCTTTTCCACGAGCTCGCGCCGCTCCGCCCTCCAACTCTGCTGATCAGCTTGCTTGTCTCTTCCTCTGCGTCTCTGCCCACCGCCTGTGGTGTTCCTATCGTGCTCTCGGAGGAGGAGGAGGAGGAGAAAGAGGAGCAAGAGGAGGAGGAGGAGGAGGAGGGGGAGGAGAAGGGGGAGGAGGAGGAGGAGGAGGAGGAGGAGGAGGAGGAGGAGGAGGAGAAAGATTAGCAAGAGGAGGAGGAGGAGGAGGAGGAGGAGGAGAGGAGGAGGGAGGAGGAGGCAGGAGGAGCAGGAGGAGGAGAGGAGGAGGAGGAGGAGGAGGAGGAGGAGCAGGAGCAGGAGGAGGAGGAGGAGGAGGAGGAGGAGGAGGATGAGGAGGAGGAGGAGTGAACTACACCCGTGGCAGCCGCGGGGGTGGCGCCCCGGGCCCCCGCCGTGCGGCGGGCGGGCTGACGGCTGGCGCAGGCTTCGGTACAGGGAGTGGCTGGACGTCGACCTCTCGGTGCACAACACCCTGCCCCTGTGCAACACGCGCCTGCTCAAGGCGGGAGGAGTAGGCGGAGGAGGAGGAGGCGGGGGAGGAGGAGGCGGAGGAGGAGGAGGAGGAGGAAGCGGAGGAGGAGGAGGAGGAAGAGGAGGAGGAGGAGGAGGAGGAGGAGGACACCCCCCGGTCCGCCCTGGCGCCGCCACATGGCTCCCTTGCTCTTTCCGGCCGAGCGGAGCGGCGGCTGGCCTCCAGGAGTGGCTTGCCCGGCGCCGGGGGAGGGAGCGGTGAGCTGCGCTGTGCTCGGAGGCTCTTCGTGGGCTCTCGGCGGTGCCCCCGCCCTGTCTGTGAAGTCCGCTCATCTCACCATTCTATCCTCATCTACCGCCGATGTCTCGGCTCAGGTCTTGGTACTGGGTGCCGCGCTGCTCCTTCTGCAGCGCACGGGAGAAGGGCTCGCGACCTTCTCCCTTACCTTCCTCTGCCTACGGCAACCCTTGTAGGTTCGACTCTCGGGCCGGGCGAAAGGGGGGGATTGGGAAAGGGGGGGTTACGAAATTTGCTGCATGCAGCTGGTTTCGGCCTCACCGAGGGGCCCATTCCTCGATACATCGCTCCATCCGGCGCCGGGAGGCGCCGGGAAAATCAGCTACGTGAGCTGATTCTCAAACCCCCCCTTTGCTATCCCCCCCTTTCGCCCGACCCGAGACTCTTCGGTCGTCAACCTACATCCACACGCCCTGGAGTGCTCTCTCTCTCTCTCTGGCAGTTGCCCGGATCGCCACGCGCTGCCGCAGGAGAGCCGAGTGGGGGCCCCGAGGACACCAGGCGTCCGGGGGGGGGGCGGGCCATCTCCCACCCCTGTCGATTTAAGCCGGGCGTGTCCCTCTACAGGGGGAGCAGCCAAAAATAGTCAAAACATAGTCCAGGGCCTTTTTCTTATTTTCTTAGGAACTTCAAAGAAACAATACCATTTTCTGATAATTTTTCAATTTGGGAACTTGTTCGATGGTGTTTTTCGTCCAAGCTCCCCCTGTAGGAGGACATGCCCGACCGAAGCCTGGATCCAGGCGCTCCAGTTTTCCACAGCAGGCGTTCCCGCGCGGCTTCGGGCCCCAGGGGGCCATCCCAGATCGATGCGGCGCGAGACGTGCCACAGGACGACTGCGTTGTTTGGGACTCCGGTCGCATTATTTTTGCGAAGCTGATTTTTCAACGTTGATGCTGATTTTTTGCTGATTTGTTTTTGCGATGCTGATTGTTTGTTCTTTTTTGCGATGCTGATCTTTTGCAACGTCGGATCTCAAGTTGGGCGGAGCGGCCCGGCGAAGGGAAGCAACAGCTTCGGGACGCACTGGGGCTGTAGTGAAGGAGAGGGGTCCCCGAGGGAGCGGGCTCCTGGCGAGTTTTCGTCGCAGTTTCCTGGGCTCCTCCTGGGCCCCCTGACTGTCAAGAAACCGACGCGGGATAAGAGGCCGACTCTCGGGAGGGATCCCCGGGGTCTATGGCCTGCTGCCGTAAGGGACCCCCCTCCTTCATGTCGAGAAGCCCAGGCATCCTGCACTCCCGCTTCCTCGATGCAGGCCTCTCATGCCCCAGAGTCGTTTTCGGACGTCGGGGCCCGCAGCCGGCCTCTTGGCGCCAACCGTGGCAACGAGCTGGCCGCCCCGAGCTCTTCAGTGCGCCAGAGATCTGGGAAGGCGTCGGCTTGCGGGTCGGGGACGGCTCGGACGTTGTCCCCGCGGGAGCTCTCGCGGTGGATCCCCTGCGGCTCTCCGTGCGGGGCTCCCTGCAACGATTGGCGACGGTGATCGTTTTCTCATTCATTGTTTTGCTGGTCTGCGCGGGCCCTCGCCCCCCCCCCTGGAGTAGATCTTGGTTGTTTTTGGCGCCCGTGTCAAGCAGGTGGAGCCCCCCGTAGGACGCACCGTTGCGAACAGTCGCATCGAGCAGGTGTCCAGGGTCAGCCCCCCCCCCCTCCCCTCCCCCCTGTTCCGCCCAATCAGAATGTCGAAACGCCGAATAAGAAAACGCTACCATGGGGAATGCCTCGACCCATGGCTGGAGCGTTCTTGGGTGCGCCTGTGTCCCACTTGACCCAGGTCACCGTTCAGGGGGCCCTGACTCTTGTCCTCCTCCTCGGGCCCAAGACTCTCCCCCTTGCCTCCTCCCCGGCCTCCTCCCCGGGCCCTCCCCCCCCCCCTTCCGCCCCATGCCGGAACGCCGAACCGGAAAACACTCACCAGAGGGGAGGCGCTGCCCCGAGTCCCGCACAGGGGGGGCCCAAGGGTATTGTTCGGCGCGCTCTACGGGAATGGCCCCTTCCGCGCAAAGCCGCAACGCCGAACAGGAAAACGATACGAGGAGGAGGAGGAGGAGGAGGAGGAGGAGGAGGAGGAGGAGGATGTGGAGGAGGAGGAGGAGGAGGAGGAGGAGGATGTGGAGGAGGAGGAGGAGGAGGAGGAGGAGGAGGAGGGGGAGGAGGATGGGAGGTGCTCCCCCGAGTCCCGAACAAGGCCCAGCCATCGACACCTCCTCGCCTCCCCGGCGGGAGCCGGCGGAGGCTGGCGGGAGCACAGTGGAGGCCCATGGCAAGAAACGCCCCGCTTGCCTCCAGGGTGCCCTGTGCTCCTTGGGTCTCGCGCTGGCTTTGCCGCGGAAAGCGCGACGCTCCCACACCAGAAATCGAGGGGCGCCCTGGGGTCTCAGGGTTAGGTCTGAGTCGGGCCTGAAACAACGTCTTCGACTAGTTTCGACCAGTTGGGAGCATGTTTTGATTATGTTTGAGGTTCCGCCCAGAATCCGCCTGCAGGGGGACATGCCCGACCCAAGGTTGGGTCTCTTGCGGAAGCTTTCTCGTGGGCTGGCCTCCATGTTGCAGGACAGCGGCGGGTCCGCCGGCGCAGGCGCTCGGCGGAAGGCGGCGGAGGTGAAGTTTTTGTTTTTATATATATATATATATATATATATATATCGCCGATGCTCGTTTTGTTTAGGCTTCGGTAGACAGTGTTACTAGCCCAGCATTAGGCCTCCAGAGCTGTTGACGAGAGGGGGCAGTGGCTTGTGTGTGTGGAGGTGAAGGTTCCGGTGGGGGATGGGTTGCAGAGTTGACTCTCAGCCCCTGAATGGATTGCTCCCACACCAAACATCAAGGAGCGCCCTGGGGTCTCAGGGTTAGGTTTCTTGCGGAAGGTTTCCTGTGGATTGGCCTCCATATCGTAGGACAGCGGCGGGTCCGCGAGCCTAGGCTTGGCAGAAGGCGGCGGAGGTGAAGGTTCGGGTGGGGGATGGGTTGCAGCCCAGAATTGATTGTCCGTCGAATCTGCGAACGAATGTGCAGAATGCTCTACGAGCATGCTATGCATCTGTCGCAGACTCGACGAACCTATCCATTTTGGGGCAGGTCAATGCTGTAGTCGATCGCCTACTCGGAAGGTGGGACTCAGCGGATGAAAAGGTGCGGATACCGCTGCCCTGAGCTCGTTTTCCTTTTTTGGGGCCTCGGGGGGGCCCTCGTCGCCATAGCTGGACTCGCCTCGGGGTTCTGGTCAGAACGCGCCCCAGAAGAGGTCCAGGGAATAGCGGTATTGTATCGGGTGCTGGTACCTGTTGGTTACCTCAGGGGCGTCAACCTGTTTGGATTCAGGGCTCCTGGAGCTGGACATCAGCAGCCCAGCGGCCTCAGAAAGGCTGGATCGTGTGGGAGCCGGCAGAGACATCAGTCGATCTTCACCGCATTGGGGATGCCGTGGTCGGCCTTTGTTGGGGGAACTTGCCGATTTCGACAGGCCTGGTGTTCCCCGCCTGTGCGGTTCCAGGAATCGCCCACGTCGTCATCGTTGCGCACAGTGTGCAAGAAGGTGGCAATCAGTAGGGTGGCCCAGGTGTGGTGCTGAAGCCTTCTGGCCCGTCTGCGCCGCCGCTCCTTCCTCCAGTCATCTCCTCCTCATCCTCCTCCTCCTCCTCCTCCTCCTCCCCTTTTCGTCCTCCTCATTCTTGTCTTCCTCCTCATCATCTTCCTTCCCACCCTCTCCTCCTCGCTGCCCGCGCGAGCCTGGCCAGCGGCACAGCGATCAATCTCAGATCTCGGACGACTCAGTTGTTTGAATGCCCTTTGAATGAGCCCCCCCCCCCTCTGAGGGGGGGCTGTCATCCCGAGCCGCTTCTTGAGCCTCAAGGGTGGGCTTTCATCCCGAGCCGCTTCTTGACGGCCCTGGGGCTTAGAAGTGCACCCTGGGCGCAGAAGGCCTGTGCAGGCGCCGAGTGGGGGTCACTATCAGGGGGGGTCACCAGTTCCTCCCGAGGATCGAGTCTCCGGGATTCAGGCTCGAGGAGGTTTCTGGACGTTGGGGGGCAGTTTTTTGGGGGTTCTCGAGTGTTCTGGGCTGTGGGGTGGGGTGGGAGGGGGGGGGCAGTTCCTTGAGGAGAGGAAGTGGCGCTTCTTCGAGGAAGTGGCGACTCCCCTATTGGTGGCCCTCCCCTTGGCATTGGCGGGGAAGACGATCAGACATCTCCAGCGCGACCTGGTGATCGTTTTCTTATTCATTGTTTTGCCGATCGGCGCGGGCCCTCGTATCTCCTCCCCCTCCCCCCCCGTGGAGTAGATCTTGGCTGTTTTTGGCGCTTGTTTCAGGCAGGTGGAGTCCTCCATAGGACACACTGTTGCAAACAGTCGCACTGAGCAGAGGTCCGGAGCCAGACCCCCCCCTTCTCCCCATCCTTCCTTCGCCCAATGTCGAAGCGGCGAATGAGAAAACGCTCACATTTGGGCATGCCTCGAATGCGTAGAGAATGCTCTACGGAGCATTCTGTGCACTTCGCGTAGACTCGACGAACCAATCCAACTGAACGACCCCCCCCCCTTTCCGTCCAGTGTCGAAGCGCCGAATACGAACACGCTCCCCTGTTCGAGTCGGCGGAGCTCTGGCAGGGCGGAGTCGGTGGCCTCCGGCCTTGCAGGGTCTCGGCAGCTCGCTCCCGGACCCCGATCTCCCCGGCGAGACGGGGGGCGAGCGAGAATTCAGGGCAAAGGAGGAAGGGATGATGATGATGATGATGATGATGATGATGATGATGATGATGATGATGATGATGATGATGATGATGATGATGATGCTGATGATGATGCTGATGCTGATGCTGGTGCTGATGCTGATGCTGATGCTGATGCTGATGCTGATGCTGATGCTGATGCTGATGCTGGTGATGATGCTGCTGCTGATGATGATGAGGATGACGATAATGATGATGATGATGATGATGATGCGGCTGATGATGATGCTGCTGATGATGATGCTGGTGATGATGATGCTGCTGATGATGAGGATTATGCTGCTGCTAATTTGGATGAGTCTGATGGCGATACGGGTGCTGCTGATGATGCTGGTCATGATGACGATGCTGATGATAATGATGTTGCTGACGATACTGATGATGCTGCTGCAGCTGATGATGATGCTGATGATGAGGCTGGTGATGCTGATGATGATGTTGATGATGATGATGCTGCTGCTGATGATGATGATGATGCTGATTATGATGATGATGCTGCTGATGATGATACTGACGATGATGATGATGCTGCTGATGATGATGATGATGATGCTGATGATGATGCTGATGCTGATGCTGATGCTGATGCTGCTGATGATGAGGATGCTGCTGCTGCTGATGATGATGATGAGGAGGAGGAGGAGGAGGAGGAGGAAGAAGAAGAAGAAGAAGAGGAGGAGGAGGAGGACTAGGAGGAGGACGAGGAGGCAGAGGAAGAGAGGAGGAGGAGGAGGAGGAGGAGGAGGAGGAGGAGGAGGGGAGGAGGAGGAGGGGGGAGGAGGAGGAGGAGGAGGAGGAGGAGGAGGAGGCAGAGGAGGAGGAGAAGGAGAGGAGGAGGAGGAGGAGGAGGGGAGGAGGAGGCGGAGGAGCTGGAGGAGGAGGCGGAGGAGAAGGAGGAGGAGGAGGCGGAGGAGTAGGAAGAGGAGGAGAAGAACGAGGAGGAGGAGGCGGAGGAGGAGCTGGATGAGGATGAGGAGGAGGAGGAGGAGGACGAGGAGGCAGAGGAAGAGGAGGAGAGGAGGAGGAGGAGGAGGAGGAGGAGGAGGAGGAGGAGGAGGAGGAGGAGGAGGCGGAGGAGCAGGAGGAGGAGGAGGAGAAGGAGGGAGGAGGCGGAGGGAGGGAGGGAGGGGCGGGAGGGAAAGAGGGAAGAAGGGAGGGAGGAGGAGGAGGAGGAGGAGGAGGAGGAGGAGGAAAGGAGGAGCAGGGGCAGGAGGAGGAACAGGAGAGGAGGAGGATGAGGGAGCAGGAGAGCAGGAGGAGGAGGGAGGAGGAGGAGGCGAAGGAGGAGCAGGAGGCGGAGGAGGAGGCGGAGGCGGACTAGGATGGGGAGGAGGAGGAGGAGGAGGAGGAGGAGGAGAGGAGGAGGCGGAGGGGGAGGAGGAGGAGGAGGGACGAGGGAGGAGGAGGAGGAGGAGGCGGAGGAGGAGGAGGGAAAGGAGGAGGAGGAGGATTTTGCACCGAGGGCTCCAATGAGCTCAAAGGGGAGGGGGAGGAGGGGGGGGAGGGACTCCTCCGCTGCAGGCGGGGCGGGCCTTGGCCTTGTTGAAAGCCTTGGCCCGCGCACTCGCGCCTGGCATGAGGCCCCTCTCCAGCTTGCTCAGATTCTCGGCCCCCTTCTTGGAGAGGGGACCGCAAGGCTGGGCCAGCAGCAGGATCGATCGGTCCATTCCGAGGCCCCCGCATGATGTGCACGCCCAGCAACCGGCGTGCTCAAAAAAAACTGGTAGCATGGGTCGGGTGGACGATCTGATTCCCGATCTGGAGAGGGGCGGACCTGGAGGCGGAGGGGGCAGCACTAGAATCGAAGGGGTTGCAGGGGGTCGACAGCCAATCCACAACCCCCTCCTTGGAGGGCTTCTGGTGGCACAACCTGCAACTAAACCTTGATTCCAAAAACTGAAGGCCAATCTTATGTGGGGAACACTGCACAGCTCTCTCTCTAATTTACTCAGGCCTGCTTTCCGAACTCCGTCGAGGGGCTTAGCCCTCTCTCTCTGACTGCGACTGTCATGGGGGGCAGAGGCAATGAGAGTAGCAGCAAGACGGAGGCGGACCTGCTCGGCGAGAGCGTCGAGGGCGATGACACTCTGGGTTGTGTCAGGGTCTATCTGGCACATCCGAGCTTCCCACTCGGCGATACGATCGGCCTCAGCATTCGCGAGGCGAAACATCTCAGGGAGTCCAAGTGCGCGGTATCTATCTTCGCTCACATGGCTCTCAACCTTAATAACGGTGATTCCTCGGGCCCTGGTTTCGGCGACCTGGGCCAAGGAAAACCACACATCGAGGTTAGACTTGGGCATACCGCCCGCCAGAATTTTGAACCAGCCTCGGACAACGTAGGCCGAGTCACTCAAAAATGTCAAATCATCCGAAATCTGTTGCACGCAATCTAGGAGAGCCCAAAGCTCTGCCCTATTGGAGGTCTGTCTTCGACCTGCCAAGGGGGCGCTCCTACGACGCACGACCTCCGCTTCCAGGGACCTCGGGTTGAGCTCGACCCATGCCCAGGCACACCGCCGAAGCCTTGGGTCCTTAGCATTCGCACCCCCAGACCCGTCACCCGCGAACAGACGTCCCACCACTTCAGCTGGGGGCTCGCCACCACCGAGGGTCGCAACACCGCACGCTTCAATGGGTGGGTAGGTCACGTCGTGCAGCTCGACTGCGTCGGGGGGGTCGGGGATGGACACGAGGTTGGAAGGGATCATGCCTCGGAGCCAAAAACAAAGATTTGAACTCTGGTCTAGGGCAGTCTCGACTGCCTCGACTACGTCTTGCATGTCTTGGCACTCTGGGAGGTCCGCATTGCTCGGGCACTGCCAAACACGATGGCGGATGCTCTCGGGGGCCCCTCCACATCTAGGGCAAGTGGGGTCAAAATCCTGCACATCACAACAATCTGCAATGCGCTGTCTGGGCCACATACCCGCTGCTGCGGCACACTCGACTGCAGCTCTGGTCTGGAACTCTTGGGCTTTCTCGAGCCTCACGAGCTGCTGCCTTAGGCGGAACAAATCGACACCCTCCTCCATCCCGCCTCCCAAGTGCTGGGTGGACGCGCCTGCCCACAGCTTGACCTCCACAGTCTTGTGGACGGCGGCCAGCAGGTCGGAGGGGTCGTAAGAAGAGAGAAAAACACGGAGGGAGGAGAAGTCTTGGACGGGGGCCTCCCAGTGCTCATCGAATGGGTCGCGCCACTCGAAGAGCCCAGGAGTGTCCCATCCAAGCGCAAGGAGGGAGGTGATGATAGCAGACATGGGGCCACGGATTCTGAACCACCTGCGATTGGTTGGGATGGTGGCGACACGGTTATAAATTTTCCTCCAGGCGTCCTGGAGGCGGCCGATCGGGGTACCGTCCATTCTCAAATAGCGGAACCACTCCACCAACATGTCTATAACAGCGACAACCGCAGGGTCCCTGGATCCGAACCTGAGGGCTAAAACAGTCGTGAGACACCTGCCTTGCTTTTGCTCCCAGACGGCACGGGCGGCGGACTGCCGCAACTTCTGTAGCCGACCTGGGGCCACTCCAAAAAGTTTTGACTCGTACATGGCCTGCGGGACAGCTCCTGTTTTAAAAAGCTTGCGACGGATACGTTGCTTGAGCGAACGTAGGCTAGCTATACGGTTGCTTCTCCGAACTCCCTTACGCCATCTCTGGAGGCCTCGGGTGCGGCGACGATTCACATTGTGGCCTCTGTCGATGCCGAGATCGGGGGCACTGCCTGAAACCTGCACGGTGATACCTATCTTGGCGAGCTCAACCCCCACTTCTTTGGCGACGAGCGGGGAGGAGGCAATGATGCAAGACTTGCTGGACAGAGACAAGCGTAAGTTGTCGAGACCGACTTTGAAATCACGCACAAACTCGACTGTACTAGATGTGACCTGCTGGGCTGTGCCTTCAGCCCTGCTATTCACGTCATCAACCCACGTGCGTGCCTCGAGCCCTGGTTGAAACCGAGAGTTGACCTCATACATAAGGTCCATCAGCACACAAGCCGCCAAATGCTGGGCCGACAAGGAGGAGGAAGAGGAGGAGGGAAAGGAGGAAGAGGAGGAGCAGGAGGAGGAGGAGGAGGAGCAGGAGGAGGAGGAGGAGGAAGAGGAGGAGGAGGAGGAGGAGGAGGCGAAGGAGGAGCAGGAGGCGGAGGAGGAGGCGGAGGCGGACGAGGAGGAGGAGGAGGAGGAGAAGGAGAAGGAGGAGGAGGAGGAGGAGGAGGAGGAGGAGGAGGAGGAGGACGACGCGAACGGCGAAAGCTTCTCACAGGGGTGCTTTCCGGCACACGTCTGATCATGATGCTCCCGCTAAAGGCACTTTCGCGTCAGCGGGGGGGGGGTTATTCTGGTGGAGCGGGGTCAGGATCAGATTATGCAGCATGCCGCCTTGCTTATCTGTCATTCAGTTTTCTTGTACGTCCCTCTGTGAACTCAATGTCTGGCTGTGCCTGTAGGAGAGCCAGGATGCAACTGAGAACTGAGAACTGAGAACTAAGGAGAAGGAGGAGGAGAAGGAGGAGGAGAAGGACCGTTTCGGAGGATGGTGAAGTTTTCCTGCTGGGGGAGCCCTCGTCGCCACGGCTGACGTCGCTTCGGAGTTCTGGTCAGATTGCAATCCAACGTAGGGACGGCTCTTGACAGAGGAGGGAGATAGTCCAACGACGCTCGTCTCGGCCACAGCGCCTGCTGCCTAGGGCTACGCCTCCTTCGGCAGCCACGTCGTGGAGCTTGGACTGGCCGTCAAGCTCTGGGCGAGGCGTTCCGGGCGCTTTCCAGTGGATATTTGAGTGGTAGGAGGAGGGAGGATGGAGGAGGAGGGAGGAGGAGGCGGAGGAGGAGGAGGAGGAGGAATGAGGAGGATACGGGATACTTGTTTGGGATGAGGACGGGGTCACGGGCGAGAGGGAACGTGGAGAAAGGGCAGGAGGAGATTGAAGAGGGGGTAGGACGAGGAAGAAGAGAAGGAGGAGGGGGAGGATGAGGATGAGGATGAGGAGGAGTAGGATGACTATGATGTTGATAGTGGTGAAGATAGTGATGGTGATGCTGGTGATTATGATACTGATGATGGTGATGATGCTGATTATGATGATGATGCTGGTTCCGATGATTATGATGCTGATGATGCTGATGATGATGCGTATTGCGATACTGGTGATGATGATGTTGATGATAATGTTGCTGATGATGATGCTGATGACGATCTTACTGATGCCGATGATGACAATGCTGACGATGTTGATGATGCTGATGCTGGTGCTGATGATGAGGGGGATGAAGAGGATGAAGAGGATGAGGATGAGGATGCGGATGAGGATGATAATGAGGACGATGGTGATGATGCTGATGCTGATGCTGATGATGAGGATGCTGATGGTGACGATGCTGATGACGATGATCATGCTGATGATGCTGATTCTGATGATGACGAGGAGGAGGATAATTACTGATGGTGATGAGGATGATGATGAGGAGGAGGAAGAGGAGCAGTTTCGCAGGACGAAGGATTTTCCTCGTGAGGTGCAAACGGCGAGGAGTTCACGAGACCACGTCGGCGCCGCCGAACGTACGGCGACTGGACGAGCTGTTTGCGGCATCCGGGACGAGAGAGACATATTCATGTTGAGTTGGGCCCGCGCGCGCGGAGAGTTGATGGGAGTGCATGAGACACTGCAGGGCCCATCCTGGAAAGTTGATAACCAACCTCCCCCCGTAGATGATGTTTTAACGGGGTGGAAATCGGATCCGACGTAAACAATAAGACCAGACGCTGGTCCAGCGCGGACCAAATCGGGTCCGCGCGGACAGAAATCGGATCCACCGAACACACAAGCCGAACCAAAATTGGATCTGCGCGAACTTGAAAGGATCCGACGGCGGTTACCTCATAAGCGTCTGCTCAAGACTTCAAACCGTCGTTCCGGGCCAAAGAGGAAAAACAGTTTTCGTCCTGGGGATTGGCGTTTTGACCGTCGGACTCGTTTGTTACCACATAGTTGGCACACCACAGCTCACCGTAATTTCCCCGCGACGTGCAATCAGGAGATCCCCTTCGAGACGTCCTCGCGAACAAAAATAGGAATCGTGTGCTTGCTCGGAGTTCCCTTTCGAGACGTCCTCGCACAAATCCGCGTGTTGGATTCGGAATCGTGGTGGGCCACGCTAGAGCCCGCCAGCTGGGGGAAGACCCCCTCCTCTTCTGGCGTTGCACTGGGTTCCAGATCGTGCTGTGGCATGCCTGCGCCCACAGCAGACGCAAGGCCGAAACGCACTTGCGCAGGACGAAGTATTTTCCTCATGAGGTGCGAATGGCGATGAGGAGTTCGCGGGACCACGTCAGCACCGCCGAACGGACGGCGACCAGACGAGTTGTTTCAGCAGCCGGGACGGGAGAGATGTATTCATGTTGAGTGGGGCGCGTGCGCGCGGATGGTTGATGGAAGTGGGTGAGACAGCGCAGGGCCCATCTTCGAAAGTTAATAACCTTACCCCTTCTCCCCCGTAGAATCTTAACACGGGCGGTTCGCGGGGTCCGCGGATCCGATTTCTTCCGCCTCCCCGTAATCTCCTCCTCTTTTTCCTCCTTCTCCTCCTCCTCCTCCCTCTCCGTCCCTTTCTTCTCCACCTCGACCTCCCCGTCCACCTCCACCTGATCCCTCCAGAAGGGGAGCTTCGGGCGTTCCCTTGTCTGGATACATCGACACGCTTGGCCAGGACTCGAAGGCTCTTGAACCTGGACGTATCCTGTCCGCTCTTACGCTGCGTTCTGACAAGCATTTCGTTTTAAATATCGGCTTTTCTCTCCTCTACCTGCCTTGGCCGCGACGTCTGCTGAAGGTTCCTGCGGTTCCTCTGCAGACCTCCGATGCCAGCAAGGACGCGTTCCTGCGGCCTCACAACGAACCGCCACAGGTGGCTGCCACACAGGCAGGGGTGGCCGGGTTTCTTGCCGCACAGTCTCGACATCGCGAGCCTGGGGCACGCTGCGGATCAAGGTTGCATTCCCTTTGCGGGCCTCTGTGAGGGCCTTCTGGAGGCGTGTCGGAGGCCACAGCGAAGCGACGCTGGGTGGCTGGGGTTCCAGGCCGTGAGCAGCGCGTGACAGACCACCCGCCCACCCCTTTTCTTCCTTGCTCTTCTCGATCTCCTCCTCGCCAGCCCCCCAAGTTAGGATAGGATGATGATGATGATGATGATGATGATGATGATGATGATGATGAGGATGAGGAGGAGGAGGAGGAGGAGGAGGAGGAGGAGAGGGATGCTGACACTGATTATGATGATGCTGCGGATGATGCTGGTAATGCTGCTTCTGATGATGACGATGATGATGACGATACTGATGATGCTGCTGCTGACGATGATGATGTTGATGCTGATGATGTTGCTGATGATGATGCTGATGATGACGATGATGATGCTGTCTCTGCTGCTGTTGCTGCTGCTGCTGATGATGATGATGATGCTGATGCTGCTGCTGATGATGCTGCTGCTGATGATGATGATGATGCTGATCATGATGATGATGATGATGATGATGATGATGATGATGATGATGATGATGATGATGATGATGATGATGAAACTGATGATGATGACGATGATGATGCTGATGATGAAGATGATGATGATGATGATGATGATGATGATGATGCTGATGATGATGATGACGATGATGATGATGATGATGATGCTGATGATGATGATGATGATACTGGTGTTGTTGTTGATGATGATGCAGCTACTGATGATGCAGATGATGCTGAGGAGAAGGAGGAGGAGGAGGAGGAGGAGGAGGAGGAGCAGAATGAGGAGGAGCAGGTGGAGGAGGAGGAGGAGCAGGAGGAGGAGGAGAAGGAGGGGTAGTAGGAAGAGGAAGAAGAGGAGTATGAATATGAGTAGGAGTAGGAGTAGGAGTAGGAGTAGGAGTAGGAGTAGGAGGAGGAGGAGGAGGAGGAGGAGGAGGAGGAGGAGGACAAGAAGGCTCCTCCTCCTCCTCCTCCTCCTTCTCCTGGTGAGCTCTTCTGCCTCCCAGATCCTGACCCGCGGAGGTCCCCAGAGTTCCTGGGGGTCTCCTGAAGCCCAAACTGGGCTGGAAACGTTGAACAGTTCGTGCCAGGCAGACTTTGAGAACCCGCTTTCTCTTCGGTCTCCCATGGGCCGAGGGCTCATCTTAGCATCCCTGCACTCAGTCAGCTCTTCGCGTCCTCATCGCGACGGCGGCAGCGATGTTCGGCCGCCCAGGGGGCACAAGCTCTGCGGGGCGGACATCGGCCATCTCTCCTCGTACTCCCTGCTGCTGATGGTCATCTACTTCCTGCAGGAGGGGCGGGAGAGGGGAGGATGAGGGGGAGGGGAGGAGGGCGAAGAGGGTGGGACAAGGGAGGGAGGAGGAGGAGGAGAAGCGGGAGGAGGAGGAGGAGGACGAGGAGGAGGAGGAGGAGAAGGAGGAGGAGTAGGAGGAGGAGGTGGTGGTGGTGGTGGTGCAGTCGAGTCGCTGAAGTGGGGACCACTCTGGGGGCAGGATGGGCTCTGGTGTCTGGGCCGTTCCTCAGAAGATCTGGGTCGGGGAGCGAGTTCGTGACCGAGCCTCGTCGCGGTCCAGAAAAGCCCCCTCGTTCCTTGTTTGGCGCCCCCGATGGTAGCACGATGATTATACTCAGACCATGGTCTGTCTGCTTCTCTGAACCACTTGCAGTGTGACCGCCGTGCGCTATCGAAGTGAACATTGCCCCAGCGTCTTGCCCTAAGCCCCCCCCCACCCCCACACGCCAAGGACAGCGCTCGGGTCGACACGCCTACCGACATCATCCCGTGAACTGATCCCTTCGTTGTGACACTGGGTGCCAGAAGTGAGAAGGCATGTATCTCAGCCCCCCCGCACCACACGCACACACACGCACACGAAGGAACAGCGAGGCGAGGACGAGGGTAGGGAGGAAGAGGAAACAGGGGGGAGAGGAGGGCGAAGAGAAGCGTCCCACACGATTCCGGGGACGGCCTCACACGCTCTTCACGGGTCCTGTCTTGACCCTTACCCCTGAACTGCGGGGACCACGCCGTGCCACTGGGTCCATCGGGTGCCGGGCTCCAGAACACCTCATATTCTTCCCGCACAGCAAAGCAGTCCCGCTCAGGAGGAGCAGGAGGAGGAGGAAGACGATGAGGAGGAGGAGGTGGAGGGGGAGGAAGAGGAGGAGGAGGAGGAGGAGGAGGAACAAAAAGGCCCCTCCTCCTCCTCCTCTTCCTTCTCCTCCTCAGCCCATTTCAGCACACCCCCTGCGTCGGGCATACCTGTTACCGCATCGTCTTATATATTCGCGCACATGGCAGTGAGCACTCGATTCTTACACGCACAGTGCATTCTATGGTCGCTCACACCATCTGTGTCTCAGCTGGCTTCAACAAGGCCGATTTCAAGACATCAGCTGCATCCTCATGTCTAGCATCATCCTCATTCAGGGCACCCGTCGTCGCATTTGTGAATCAGATCCATGTGACACTTACACTGGCAATGACTATCATCAGTTCCATTTGGGATATCATCCTAAATATGGCAATGCGCATACAGGTGTTGCTATCGCGCTATCTTCCAAGAGGTTTTCTAGATCCAATATTATCTCCGTGCCTTGTCCCAAGCAGCAATGCATATGGGGTCGTGGGGGGCGCTCTTCGATGGGAAAATCGACATTCGGATTTCACGTTCATCTCCGCTTACTTTCCTCCCAATGCTGACACGTCCCGCTCCAGAAGAGGTTGCAAAACAAAGCTGGGCTGGCTTGAAGAGTTATCCACCTCTCTCGTCTCGCAAATTACCTGTCACGGGCATCGGTTCCAACGAACATATCGGCCTCGTGAGGACCCCCGATGGACATTCCCTACTGATGATACGTGTACTGGGTCCTTCAATCGCAGCTTGCAGCAGCCGCGTATTCAACAGTTTATTGGTTTCTTGCTCAAGCATGACTCAATTCTACTCAACACGTTCTACCCGGCTTTCCCTACACATTATCGTGGCGTGTCTGGCTCTGCGCGCTACATCGATTTCATAATTGTGCCCCGCCGTTTCTATTCGGCGCAACACATTTCCAAATGTCAGACATTGCGATCACTTGGCGGTGTTTTTTTTTCAACTTGTCCCCGATACTCGTCGCATTGACCATCGCCCAGTTTACGCGTTATTTGACCAGCACTTACGGTATGACGGCCAAGAGACATTACATCATATGCAATGGGATTTTGATTTGGTTGCTCAATTTTGCATGAGCCTTACTTTCTTATCGCGCCCGGCAAATGGACAGGACAGCGCGCTGACCAACTTGACGCTGTTTCGCACAGGAGCTCATCTGAGCAATGGGCAGTGCTCATCGAACGCAGTTTCCTACCTCTCGCAGCAGACTTCTACGGCAAGAAAGAAAATCCAGCAGGACCGCGTTCTCGCGAACGACAAGATTTACTTCAACGACGACGGGATCATCGCTGTCAGTGTCTTCGGCCCGCCCAACGTTCTTTCCATCGTTTTTTTTGCATTTCAGCACTGGCGCAGTATTTCACGACCTCTCCGCGTCAACCGATGAATTCGTCGTTGACGCGCTACTCGCCGTAAAGAACTCAATGAGCAACGTCGGCTTGAGCTACAAGATGCTTGGCGAGGCAGACGACTCGCTGAAGCTTGACGCCTCGCACGTCTACTCTCTGGTAAACGCTTCGGCAGGCGTCCCCGCAAGTATCGCAAGTCCTCTCTCCGTCGACGCTGTGAAGAAGAATGGTTGTCTAAGTTATCGCAGGCTTACTCTCGCGGTGGATGGAATAGTATCCGACTACCTATCTCTCAAGTTCGACATGTGTTTGTAGACGACCACGGCGACAATGTTCACGTTAATTATCAAGGTCGCGTTCGCGGCGAGCAGGACGTGAACTGGGCGAAATTGTGGATTCGAAAAAGCTCGGATCGACGTTCCTCGCCGTCATGGGATGTGCCTTGGGAGATATGGAAGATGATTTTATGGCCACGATCTGTATTCAAGAACGGATTTTAAGGCGTCGAACAAGACGAATCTCTCTACGAACCTCAAGCGTTTCTTTCTCGGCTCCAGCATATACTCGAAATGACGCGCGCTACTGGTCACAGTCCGTGCCAATTTCATCGCAGCCAAGGCCTTCAAGTACAAAACAAAGGATGGCGTTCGTGCCGTTCATGGGGGCTACTACGTCGACCTGGCAAACCTCATCGGCTCGCCTCATCGCGCATTTGCTGTTCTAGGCCGACGACGCGAAAAAGCTATTCGTATTCAGATGTTGGTTCTACATATATGTTCAAAGGCTTGTCTCAGCATTGCCGAACATTTGCCTCGCCCCCCCGCGACATCATGGACCAAGCAACTCAGCGCCTTATGCTTTATCAAAGCGACGACGACATACATTGCGAAGAAACGCCACACCTCTACGCGTCGCCGAACAAGATGAACGCTTCTTACGTCAGCATCACCGTCGCGCTACTTGTGCCCTACAAGCTTCCGATGTGCCTGCTGAGTTTTATCCCCCCCTCAGCGGAACCTTCCAAGGCAATGGCGTTGCTGCTGACCAGTTTCGCGCGCCATTTTGGCATGCAGTTCGCTATTGGAGCTATGCGGCAAAGGATCTTCGCTTGCTTGTTCCATCGCCGCTCAACGCCGCCGTCATCGACTTATCTATCACTTCCTGTGTCGACGACTTTTGTAAACAATATGTGATTACTACGCCTGCGAGTTTATGCTATGGTCAAGCCGATCATGATTCATGTTTGGACGCCATATTCGACAAATACACGATTGCGCAGCGCAAAGGAAAACACCCGATCTACTGTCTACTTCGCTGGCGCGCTCGCGCGTGCACAACGGCGCGCGGCGCGTGAACAACAAGCCCAATGTTCTGTACTCGGCGCCGCGCGCTATCTTGGGCCATATTCACACGGCAAAAACTGTTTGAATGTCGAACGGCGTCTACGCATTCAAGTTGCCAACAAAACCTGGTGTATATTGAGACGGTTCTGGTTTGCCGAGACCAATATTTGATTCCGCGTTTTTGTCTCCAGATGCACTGTATGGTCTGCTTTACTATCTGGCCTTACTGCGTCTGCTCTACTTGAACATGACTACACCGTGTTCGACAAATACATCGTATATCGCGGTCGCAAGCTTATGAAAGGCAAAGCCGCTGATGAGAAAACAAGAAAAACATTCGCCGACGGCGCCATCAAGTACATGCCTATCCCGACTATTGAAATTTTGCGTCATATTGGAATTGCTGGCGCTCCGGCTGAACTCATCATTCAAAGACCTAAATGGTTTCAAAAGATTTGCCGTCATCCATGTCATCATCAACTTTACATCGCTGCTGTGTTTGGTCGATTTCCCCGCGATGCACTTGACGGTGCAAGCCGTCGCCCATGGCTGGAACATTTACAGACATATATCCAGGTCTTATCTGCGCTTCAAACCGCGTAGTTTCTGGAAGACGTTTCTCCGTGGCAGTTGATTCAAACATGTACGTTGCAAGGCGAGTTATTCGAGACTGATGTGGCTGAAATGCGTTCCAAGTTTATGTCTGTCAACATCCCACCGCCGCGTTGCGACCGTGACCCACTCAATCTTACTGCATGATAATGTTCCTTACCGAGTGGAGAATCCTATTGCGGTCTCATGCGCACCGACGGCGACATATGCACGCTCTCATTCCTAATTCGTGAAGCTTGTAGACTACATCGTGCGAGTGAACAGTCCATGCATGGCATGACTACGCTCGACCGTATCGTTCTTCAGGCAGTATGTCCTCGGTGCTCTACACATTTCTCCACGCGAGAAATTGCACGCTATCGCGCGCGTAGAAACTGGCATTATGGAATATGCAAAGTTGATCAGAGCTACCGTCCCTCCCCTTCCCATGATCTCCGACAACGCCTACGCACGTGATGGAATCCTGCTCTTAACGCTTACGAGTGCGACGACACTTATAGCTACAATCATCATATCCGTAACAGCATTTATCTGGTCCAAGGCGCCTTGGTTTCTCGACGCCGGTTTCAAGTTCTACAGTTCCGATTGAAGTACTGATGGCTTTCGGCCCTCTCCCCAAGATGCCTTACAACAGATAAAAGTGACGCAATCTACTGGTGCCAGTTCTTCTCATCGCCAAGCTGATCCTCCGTATTGCTATGTCGTCACAGATCCCCAAGGCAACAACATTGGAAGCTTATCATGTGAAAGAGAATTGCGTTTTTATCGTCTCAATGACGAATTTTACCGAGAGCTATGCGAGGGGGCGACACATTACGTTTTGATTTCGACCCGCAGTTTCTTCAACACCTCTCAGTGAAAGCACGTTACCGACACAGTCTGATGGAAACGTTCGCATTTTCACGACGCACGACAGCAAGATCAAGCAGCTCGAGGCAGTGGCGGCGTCAGGCGCACTCGATATCGGGATTCGAGCGACGATCGACGAGTTCACAGTGCAGTGAGTTCTTGCCGTAATGTTTCAGAATTTCGCCCTGGTGCTAGTCATGTGCTTGATGTTCCAAGCCGCCGCCAGCCGCGCGACGGCCCCCCCCTCGTCCCCGCCCTCCCCCTCCTCCTCCTCCTCCTCCTCCTCCTCCTCCTCCTCGTTCTCCTCCTCCCCCTCCTCTCAGCGTGATCGACGGCGCTCGTTTGTCCGCGCGGTTTCAGGAGCCCCGACGAAGATTCGAGCGTTCTCAACGTCCTAGTGCACAGCAGTAAGACTTGTGTGTGTAATCGTGCTAAGGGTATGAGTGCGCGACGTTCGCGGCCCTTCACGCCTGGTGCTGATTCAGGGCTTGCGTGCTCTGTCGTCGGTGGGCTTTCGCTCGCGTCGCCCCCCACTACAGTCGCGTTTCTCTGACCGTGCGAGCCCCTGTGCTGGAATCTTCGTTTCTGGCTGATCTAACAGGCTGTCGTGGGATCGCTCTTATGAATCATTCGTATTCTTATTACCGCCACCTCGTCGTCGTCCTCCTCCTCCTCCTCCTCCTCCTCCTCCTCCTCCTCCTGGTATGTTTTTCTGCGTCCCCAGGTCCTGGCCCGCGGGCCCCTCATTCTGGGGAGACCAGAAGGTCCCAATACCGCTGCTCCCGAGGCCTCGCCTTGGGCGCGTTCTTACCGGGACTTCGGGGCGCATCCGGCGGCGGCGCGACGGGGGGCCTTCCTGGCGGCCGGAAGAGGGGCAGAGCGGGCGAAGGGGCGGAGGTATGGGTACCTTTTCCTCCCCCGAGGTGCTTGCTGTCTCCGCTGGCTGCTCGCAGCGCCCTGTGCTATAGCGCCTCTTGGCGGCAGCTTTCGTTGTTCCAGCGAGCTCCGGAGGGACGCCCCTCGCCCATCGCTTGCGCTCGGGGGGGGGGGGGGCCCGCCCTGGCCGCCGAGCCCGGCTGCTGGAGGCACCTTCGTGACGAAATGGTTTGCGGGAGCGATCAGCACACCCGGGGGGCATGCCAAAACATACACAGATACACGAACACACTAGAAATAGTACCCCTACCTCTACCCTTCCCTTGTTTTTCCTCTGTTTGGGCCTCCTGGGAGGCCCCCGTCGCCACCGCCGGATTCGCCTCGAGTTCCTGGTCAGAACGCACCCCGAGAGGGCCTGGGGAGTAGCGGCATGGGTACCTTGTGGTTTCCCCAATGCTCGGGGGCGTGCCAAGCGGAACGATTTCATGAAGGTAGAAGCCGCGTCAAGCCTGCAGCGCCTGTCCCTCCTTGTCGAACGTCGCCGTTGTCCGCGGATGCCTGATGCACTCTGCTGCTGTCTCCATCGGTTCGCTCGAGAGCCAGGTCATAAGTGTTGTGAGTCACTGGGCCTCTTCTTGACTCTGAACCTCATCCCGAACCGCGGGCACCTGTAACACTGCATCGAGAGACGCCATCGCAACAATCAAAGAGAGAGGTCTGAGATCGGCCGTCGGATCGTCCTTCACTTATGCGTAAAAGTTGAGCCGTCGCGACGGCCCGGGAGGAGGAGGAGCAGGAGGAGGAGGTGGTGGTGGTGGTACTCAGCATCTGGTCTCCGCTGCATCCTGACAGATATTGCATGACGACCGCTGTGCGCCTCAAGAGTAAAACACCCTCGAAATCGTTCCAGAATGCGGTGCCCCCGCCACGACTGGTTATCCGGTCAATGGGGACACCCTGGATACCGTCAGGGTCGAGAAGCCTAACGAACTCATCCCGAATAGTGCCGTTTGGCACTGGTCCCAGGAGTGAGAAGACAGGCATTTCAGTTCGCACATCACAGAGGAGGGGAGGGAGAGGGAAGGCAATAACACGGAGGCAAAGCACACGAGGGCACGAAGGCGAGCGGGAAATAGAGGCAAGGGAGAGGAGGAACACATTCAAATCAAAAACCTTTACTAATGAATCACTGGTTCAGGTCAAGCCCTTCCTCGACCTTTGCCCTTGCCCTTACGGGGCCTACGCTTGGGGTTGGCCTCTGGTGGGGCCCAAGCTCCTGTGAAAGCAACTTCGCTCTGGAACAGAATGCCTAGGTTGAGTACGAGCCTGAACCGGCTCACTGGGGGCCTCAGTACTTCTTGGGTGAAGATCTTTGAGCATCTTCTCGAGAGAATTCTGGGGCTTTCTCTCTGTCAGTGCCCGCGGCGTAGGGGGAGGAGGACGATGAGCAGGAGAAGGAGGAATATGAGGAGGATGAGGAGGGAGAGGGGAAGGCAGGCAGAGAGTGGCAGAAATTTTGAATGCTGACCCGCGGCTGAGGCCGAGGCCATCGCATTCGCACCCGAGGCCGCACTGGAGCAGGCTGCACCACCCACCACTCCTCGGAGAAGCAGCGCTGACAGCCCCAGCGCGCAGGCCGTTCGAGACGAGTCGTAATAAGCATAGGAACCAGAAACAAAGCATGCTAGAAATAATAATCATACCACTCAAAAAGGAGGCGAGCAAAATAGTTTAGAATAACAAGAGCAAGGAAAAGGCAAAGGGAGGAGTGGCCCTCCCCCAGTCCCCTCCGAGAAGCACTGATGCGTTCCAGGAGGTACAGGTTTTCCTCCCCTCACGTAGGGACTCCAGAGACGAGGGCCGACGGACAGTTGCTCTAGAAGTCCTGGAGCGTGTCCTTGGCCCTGGGCCAGCCGCACAGTGACATCACAGGGCCCATTTTGATTCGTCCGACCAGGTTGGATGTCGAGTTCACCCAGCTCGATCCGACCTGGTGATCTGGTGCGGCCCGTTGCTTGCACGGCGTGCTTGCGCTGCCTGGGCGCAGCCGACCCAAATTCGAATTTGGCTCCGAGGCGCCGCGGCCTGGTGCGATGCTCGTTCCGATCCGACCCGATCTCCCGACTCAATGCTGATGGACCCTGCCACGGCATCATCATCATCGTCATCGTCATCGGCCTGTTCTCTCCTCGGGGGGCGGGGCTTGTGCGCCAGCGAAGGACCCAGAACCCCGACGTCGTGTTTTTTTCACAACGTCGACCCCCAGAGGTCTGGACCCCTTCCCCGGGACCGGGCTTGCACCCTGAGCCGCTTTTTGACGGCCCCGAGGCCAGGTATTAAGGGGGTCCCGGATGCCGAACTGAGCGAACCGCCTCCCGTCGTGTTTTTTTTCCCAGCGCGAGGGGGTCCTGGGGAGAGAGGGCCTCGCCCTCGGCGCCCTCGGCGCATCTTCGCCTTCGGCGAAAGCCGGCGGAGCGCAGCGAAAGCGAGGCGGCGGCAGATCTGCTGGCGGACGGCCTGGCGGAGGCCGGCGGCAGCACGAGCGAGACGTCAACGCTTTTGGATTCAGAAGCGTAGGGTCCTCCTCATGGGTGAGGACGAGGAGGAGGAGGAGGAGGAGGAGGAGGAGGAGGAGGAGGAGGAGGAGGAGGAGAGGGAGAGGAAGGAGGAGGAGGAGGAGGAGGAGGAGGAGGAGGAGGAGAGGGAGAGGAAGGAGGAGGAGGAGGAGGAGGAGGAGGAGGAGGAGGAGGAGGAGGAGGAGGAGGAGGAGGAGGAGGGGGAGGAGTGAGTAGGCTCCCAGAGTCGTCCGCATCATCCTCGTCCTGTTCCCTCCCCTGGGGGGCGGGCCCATACACATTCCGATGCGTCTTATTTAGCCGCCGCGGCCCCAGGGCTCCTGACCCCTTCCTCGGTGGGAGTTTTTGGTCGTCCTGGGCCTGTTTCTGATCGCCCACAAGGGCTAGAAGCGGGCCCCGTGAGGCCCAAGTCGAGGAGAGACGCCCAGATTGAAAGCATCGCGTCGTCGGAGACCTACGGGGGCAGGTGACGCCCCTGGACAAACTCGTTCAAAGCAATCGCTCATGCAGGCCATCGTGCGCAGGACAGCCCCTTGCTGTGGCTGGACGGTTTGCGATACCACTCGTGTGCACGGCGTCGGAGCAGCCAGGCAGCTAAGTCGCTTCAAGATGGCGCCGCCGAACTTGTCATCGCTCCCCTCCCAGAGTGCGCCGCACATCGACGAACAAACACGGCACAAACATAAGCTCCCGGCCCTCCGCGGGCCCCCCCTTGCAGCGCCTCCGGCGCGCTCCGCGCCTCCCGGCGCGTTCAGCGCGGATCCAAGAAGTCCGCGCGGAGTTCCACGAGTTTCTTTCTGTTTATGGCGCCGCTCTGTCTTCTTCCAGAGTGAACAGCGGGAAACCGTCCCCAGCCCCCACAACTATGGTCAAGGGAGAAACATCCACCTGGATTGCTAAACGGCGTTGGGCGTTTACTAAAACAGCCCTGCCCTGTTCGATTCCTTCAGTGGGTGCGTTTAGTAAACGGCTTCGCGTGTCAAGGTGGTTATTATGGGGGTGTTTTTGTTTTGTCCTCTATGTGGATTTTACACGTCAGCGTTTTGCATGTACGGCTTTCGCACGTCGCTTGACGGTCGAATGGGTCTAAAGTTCCTCCTGCGGGGGGCGAGGGACGATTTTTTCATGCGTGCACAGAACGTGGAAGAAGACTTGGGGGGCGGAGGAGGAGGAGGAGGAGGAGGAGGAGGAGGAGGAGGAGAAGGAGGGGGAGCTGGGGGAGGAGGAGGAGGAGGAGGAGGAGGAGGAGGAGGAGGAAGAAGAGGAGGAGGAGGAGGAGGTTCCAGAACATGGAAGAAGACTGGGGGGCCAGGTGCGCCAGCCGAGGCTGCTGCCCAGCCTGCAGCGCGCCGCGGCCGACGACCGCGCCTTCGGCAGCGACCGCTCCACGAGGCCGCTCTGGGCGCGCCCGCCGTCGGGCCCTCTGGCCTTAAGTCGGGCATGTTCCTCTACAGGACCCAGACATGATCGCGTCGTGACAAAATCAGGACGGGAGGTTTTTGGCCATTTTCGGCCTCGGGGGGCCTTCGCCGGGCCTCGGGAGCGTCAAACAAATATTCAGGACGAAAAACCGGTCCCGGGGAAAGGGAAGGGATTTCCAGGGACCCCGTCCTGAAAAAAACAGAACGTCGCATGTCTGGGGAGGAATATTCAAAAGTCGTAGAAATTTGCTAGAGGGTCGATGTCTTGAGCATTTTGTTGCTATGTTTGGGTATCTTTTTGGGGGTATTTTTTGTTCAATCGCTTCGCTCATTCCGCCGGCCCATGTTGCATGATCGCTACTGCTTCGCCGTGGGCCCGGGGCCATTGCGGCGCCGCCGAGAAGGAGGAGGAAGATGAGGATGGGGAAGGGGAGGGGAGGAGGAGGAGAGGATGAGAAGGAGAGGAAGAGGATGAAGATAAAGCAGGAGGAGGAGGAGGAGGAGGAGAAGGAGGAGGAGGAGGAGGCAGGGGAAGGGGCGGAGGAGGAAGCCTCTCGTTGGCATCTTGTGTTGCTCTTGGGGCCAAACAGGGTCGTCGTCAAGATGCTTCTTTGGGAGGCCTCTTGGGGTCTTTTGAGAAGCCGTTCGGGGGCGCCTGGGAGGCATTTTTGAACTTCTGGGGCCTCTTTTGGGCCTCCTGGGGGCCTCCTGGGGGCCTCCTGGGGCTTCTTGGGGGCCTCTTCGCGGCATCTTGGGGCCTCTTGGGCGCCTCTTGGGGGCCTCTCGGGGCCTTCTGGGGCCCCCTGGGGTGGAAGGCTCGAGTTTTCGGTTCGTGGTCCCCCTCTTGGGCCCCTCTTGGAGCCGTCTTGGGGCCGTCTTGGGCCGTCTTGGGCGCCTCTTGGGCCGTCTCGGGGCCCTCTTGGGCCCTCTTGGGGCCCTCTTGGAAGCCTCTTGGCCCGTCTCGGGGCCCTCTTGGGGGCCTCTTGGGCCGTCTTGGAGCATCGGATGGCCGAAAAGGCGGCAAGGACAAAATCCTTCCAAAACCATAGTAAAATTTAGGAATTTGGCCTGTCGGGCCCTCTTGTGAGGCCTCTTGGAGGCCACTTGGAGGCCTCTTGGGCCGTCTTGGGGTCATCATCGGCGTCTTGGAGCGCTCTTTGGGCGTCTCGAGGGCCTCTTGGACCGTCTGGGAGACCTCTTGGGGCCCTCTTGGACCGATTTGGAGCCCTCTGGGGCTCCGAAAAAGAGTTCGGGCATCCTTGAACAGGACTTGCCGGGAGTCTGCTGGGGTACTTTTCGTCCGGGGACCCTCAGGGCCCGCCCCGCGCGCGCGAAAAAGATTGTTTACCAGCTACCGGAGATCTTAGAACGCCTCTGGCCCGTTGGGCCGGCGAATTTTTCGCCCAAAATCCCCTTGCAGGGGGACATGTCCGACCTAACTTTAGGTCGGGCATGTCCCTCTACAGGGGGACTATTCAAAAATAGTCAAGAAAATATTATGGGGCCGATTCTTGTAGGCATTTTTTGCTATTTTGGGAATCGTTTTTTTGGACGGTCCCGAAGTTCCCGGCGAGGGCCCACCCCGAGGCCGAAATTGGTCAACGACCTCCCGTCCTGATTTTTTTCACGACGCGATCTTGTCTGGGGTTGGCACCAGAGCCCCCCGGATGGCCGAATGCGGCGCGGAGGCGCTAGAGCTCGCGGGCTCGGGCCTGGCCCCCGCTCGTGCCCCCAGGGGAGCAGCCGCCCTCTGTGTGCTGCCGCCGCCTCTTGTGCTGCTCGTTCTCTCGTGCCGCGTCGAGGGCGGGCGGAGGAGGGTGCCGATGGGCAGCCGCCCGCTGTGTGCTGCCGCCGCCCTGTGTGCTGCTCTGTCTCCTGCCGCGTCGAGGGCGGAGGAGGGTGCCGATGGGCACACGTGTGGGGTCATCTATTCTGGCAGGGGCAGTAGTCGCACCCCCCTTGAATCCGCCCGGGGGTCGGGCACGTGCTGTCGGAACTGGCGGAGGGAGGGTTGGAGGAAGAGGAGGATGAGGAGGGGGAGGAGGATGGAGGGGGGCGGGATTGGGCAGGCAGGCTCAGTCAGAAGGTCAATCACCCCCCCCCCTTCATGCAAAAGAAACCATCCAGAGTAGGCCTCTCAGATGGGGTCCGAGTAGATGGGGTCGGAGGATCGCGCCGTATTGCCGATGCATCGGCGATGCTATTGGCGATGTAGTTCTCACAGATGCATCGGCGATGCGGCGCGATCCTCCGACCCCATCCGCTCCGACCCCTTCTGGGAGGTCTCCAGGTCGGCAGCAGTGGTGATCGTGATTGAGGCTGCACGTGTGTGCGTATCAGGCGAGTCCAGGCGAACCAACGGTCCCTCTTGCCCGGGGCCTTGCGTGTGACGCCGGCTGGGCTGGGCAGCGGCGGGGGGGGGGGGGCGCTCCTCGCGGGCGGTGCTTCTCTCTGTCGGCCGTGCGCCGCAGTGGCACCCCCCTCGCCGGAGGGGCCCCTGCGGGTGCTTTCTTTCGCGCGGCGTACTCCTCCCGCGGCCGCCTCCTCCTCTCTGCCTCCCCTCTTGCCTCGGCATCGCTCGGACGTGTGCACTTTTCCTTCGGCGAGGACCATCGAGGAGCATCCTTGACCATTTGGTGAAAAAACCACGCACGAAACCGAACAAAAGCACAGGGAATGGACGTCCGAGCGATGGCAGGTTGCACGTGGGCTATTTCGCGACTCCGCGCCCTGCTGTGTCACTCGGACGCGCGTGCGGGGATTGCCCCTGCCGCGCTGCGACGTACAATTGTTTTCGCGGGGCCTCTCCGGCCTCGGGAGACTCACGTGTCGATCCGGCTCGAAACGTGGCGCAGGAAGGTGGAGTCCGCGGCTCTGGTCGTGTTTTTTGACGGTCTCGCATTTTTTGGAGCTGTCGGATCTCATGATCTGGTCAGTGCCAGCAGGAGTTCTCCCCGCAATGGCCTGCACGTCTGGATATGGCCCACCCCGGCGGCATCCGGAAGCCGTGCGGTCGCTCTCACGCGTAGAGCCGAGATATCAGGGGGCATGTGCCCAGATCTCTGACGTCTTCAGAGCTCTGGGCACATCGTCAGACTGACGATGTGTTTTTTCAGGCCTGGCGATTTTCATAGATTTCGGCCTTTTGGGCTTGGATATCGCGTCCTGGGACGTTCAAGAGCGGATCCTGGACGTCAGGTTCCCCCTGGGGAAGAGGTCGGGACCTTCGGGGCACGAATTGACATACAGATCCTCGGATGTCTGGGGAAGGAGGGTCAGCCAATCCCTTTCGATGCCCTTCGGCTGATCTGGGTTGGCAGCTGCGTTGAGCGGCCCTTTCCCCGTCTCTTAGTCACTACTGCACCAGGTTGACAAGCTACTTCGTGGCTGGCCCGGAGAGTGCACTGACATGGCCAACGCTTTGGGGTTCGCGCTGGCAAACATGGCCATTCGTGACGTTTCCCTGGGGTATGTGTCACACGCTCTGGCACCGTCCGCCTTGAATGGACGGTTCTGTTGCACTGCCCCTGGTGTGTGTGTGTGTGTGTGTGTGTGTGGGTGTGCGTGCGTGTGTGTGTGCGAGTGCGAGTGCGAGTGCGACTGCGAGTACACTGTAGGGGCTCTCTGAAGACGTGTAGCGATTTGGGCTCGAGGCATGTTGGTTATAGAAGGCTCGCTCCCGCAGTGGCAGGACGCCAGTGTGCGATCATGGCGGCCTGGGAGGTGGACTTGTGCTTGGTCGCGTCGGCTGGCCTCGCGGTACTCTGGAGTCGCAGCCCTGTCGAGGAGGACAAGGACTCGGCCAATCACTGGGACGTTGTCCTGAAAGCTGTTGTGTTTGTGGCGAGTTACTTGAAGTCTTTCAAGGAGGCTCTCACCATAGTGTTGCTCTCGGTTGCCGCAGCCACCTGGGGTGGTGCGATCCATGAAGGTTTGGGGCTGGGCCTGGGGAGCTTTGGCAGCCAGGATGATTCTGACGTGTGGCTCGGCTCGTACGCGCGCAGCCGTTGCGCAGCCCAGATCGCGGTCGGTCTATGGCGGGCCGACAAGATAGAGAGCCTACTGTTGCGGCTGCAGCGGAGCGTGAGCGCCACCAAGGAGGTGGGCGGCAGCGCTGTTCGAATGGCTGCAGGCGACCCTGGAGTTTGGATCTGGACACCGTTCTGGGCCATTTTTCGCCGAGTTGCCCTCGTGACGGTCTCGTCCATCGGATACGACGCGTTCATGTTCACCGCATTCCCCGCTGTGGCTCTTGACGAGTTCTGCTGGTGGGTGACAGCAAGGTCTGTCGACTCGTGGAAGCGCAGAATATGCGACCTTCCTCTTTGGTTTGAACTTGTCGTACTTCCGGTGGTGGACCTAGTGCATTTCTTGCCGACGCTCTTCAGGACTTTGCAGAAACCAGTGCGCGTTCTGATGCCCGGTTGCCTTGGGTACTTAGGCTGGACTTGGTGGATAGGCTGGACCTGGGGCTGGCGTGTTTGCCACAGGCTCATCTGCCTTTAGTGTGTTTTGTTCAGTTTTCGTTGAAACGTCCAAACTGCTCAGTAGCGAACAAGAGCTAAACTAATTTTAATAGTCTTTGTTTGGCCATGCCCCCAGGATCCTCCTGCTGGCCATGGTGGAGTACCCCAACGATACAGCAGTGCACCACCAGGCCATGATGGTCGTCTCTGCCCTGGCGTGGTCGGGCCACAACTTCCACAAGCTCTACACCACGGCATGCGTCGACCTGCCCTGTCAGATCGAGCAGCTGAGCGGCGGGGCGGTGCCTCCCGAGTGGCAAGACTGAGCCTCCCTGGACGCTGGCCCGCGGGTCTGGCGCAGCCCTGGGCACAGGAGCCGACAGCCGGCGGCGGACTCACTGGCCGCCCGGTGCGGCTGCTGTGCCGGCGCTGCCCCTCGGCGGCTGTATGCCTCCAGTGCTGACCGGGGCTGCGGATGCCCCCATATGCGCTCGGAGTCACCGTC